CCAAATTTTGTGACAGAGAAAGCCTATTTAAGTGCTTTGTTTTCAAATATCAGGATACATAAGCAAGCAAACACTGCATGTATTATGAGACCCCTAAAAGCTTTCAACCAGATTTCAACTTTCTAACCTGAGGGATATTGCTCTCCATACGTTTTACTGAGAGATAAGGGATGAAATCACACACTGAATAATGAAAACATGACATATATAAAACTATATATGTATTGGTCAAATCCAGAAGGGAAAAAAAAGATTGATGTATCGTATGACATTTAAGCAACATCACCCTCGGCAATGGACAGAGACTGAATAAACTGATCATTCAAACTAGAATGGTAATCCTTGTTACACATATTCTTTTCATCTTATGAAGTTTGGAAGGCTTCAGTTGTGTTTGTGATTGATTAATACATTTCTACTCTTCCTTGTTTATTTTACTGACACTAATGCCGTTTAATATCATTGTAAAATGGATATCGCCATTTTTCCTCACATATAAATGTTTGCTTTAATTGAATAAGACATTAACTTTTCTTTTATTAAGGAGTCTTTTGCTTTTCTCTCAGTAAGGAGCCTTTTGCAAAGCTGTTGTTTTTAGACATCCTCCACAGCTCTGCACAGTTCACTACTGCTAAGCATATGATGAGTTCTGTCAACAGCAATCTGTTCTGTCAATAAAAGATCAAAAATAAAACACAAGCCAAACTTTGTATAAACCTCCTTCCAGTAGTGAAGTCGACATGAAAAGGTTCCGAATGAGTTCCTCTGGACTAGTCCAAAGAGCAGCACCACCATCTCCTGAGCAGTGCCAAGGCTTTAAGGGCCCTGCAGCTGAAGGGCAGGGGCATGAGAAAGTTGAACTTGGGATCATATCTGACACCTGAGCAAATCAAACCTCCACCATAAGTGGAACGTTCAGATTACAAAATTTAAAGCATCATTCCAACTGCAGACAAAGCTTTCCAGAAGAATTCATGGAAAAGTAAATATAATGACAGAAGGCATGGGTTTTAGAGCAGCATGCTGGTTTTGCTTAAAAATCAACAAGCTCTGGGCAAAATCTGAAGAAAATTAAAAGGCAGTATAAAATTCAAGGGGATAAATGCACAGGCATGGAAAATCATGAGGGACGTATCTCTCACCCCAGGGCTGTCAATCCCGATGAGAAGCCGTTCTACAGACAGCAATTCAATTCCTCTTGCTGCACACACTGCACAGATTTTGACTGGGATATTATTTGCACCACCAGCTCCTAACGACATCTCAACAGAGCATTCAGAGTCCTTTGGCTGCCAAGTGAGAACCATTAAATAGTGCTTGCTTCTTAAAGATGCCTCAGATTGTCACCTGTGATTTGTCATATCAGAGATTTGTCAGAAGGCAAAAAACTGAGCAATACAGACCAACAAGATGAATGCATGGGCACAGAAATTTGCAAAGTATAAGAGCACAAACACAAAGATGCCAAATGTTCTTTACAAGTGTTATTGGTTGCCAATGCCAATCCCATTGAGCATCCTTGCTAGCACCAAAAAGGACATCTGCAACCTCACTCAGATCTTCTCTACTCTGCCCCTCTGTGCACATTTCCATCTGCACAAACACTACCCATCCTTATGTGGCAGTTCCTTATACCCACACTGGTCAGCTCTGCATACATGTCCAGATGTCAACAGGACACACAGGAATAGAAATTATGCCTCCTAAATGTTTTAAGTATATGGGAGAGTATCATGGGAGCAGAAAAGAAAAGAGAACATGATAACCTGGGGAAAAGTGGGGGAGCACCCTGTGCTTCCTCCATGTGGGCAGTCAGCAGCAGAATGCTTTACAGCTTAGATGGAGTCTGGTCCAACTTTGAGAATACCAAACAGAGAATCGAAACAGTGCATCATATCATGATGTCAAGGCAAGGTCACATCAAGTATGTTCAGATAACAGAAACGCTCTCCCATTTAGTTTAATTTTCCTTAAATATTAATGTTAAGGACTAGATTCTGACAACAGCTGTGGCAGTTAACTGTATTTTTTTTTGTTTGTTTGTTTTTTTAGTTAAACCCATAGATGCTCCAAAGTTTAGCACATTTTCCTATGGCCTGTCCTGAGCATAACTGGGGTGCTGCTCCAACCAGACACATTTCAGCTGTTAGAAATCTGTTCCACCTTGCTTTGAGCTGAGTGGGAGCATGTACCATCCATTGCTGTGACTACCTCAAATGACCAGAGCATGGAATTTCTGCCCCTTTATGCAATACCAAGCTGCATCCACCCCACCCTTCACCAGCAAAGCCTTTTTGCCTACACAGAACAAGGGTACTGGAAAAGAGGCACCTGTAAGTGGCAGCCATGGCACTGGGACCTGAGCTAGTGTTGTGTTTAAGGGAGACAGTGTTTCCTATCCATGCTGGCTACAATTATCAGTACAATTAAACATTTCACAAGTAGCAGTGGAACAGAGACAGTAAATCTCACAGCAAAATCTCACCAGCAATACTGGTGAAGATCCTAAGTATTAAACAACTAGAAGAAATGCTGTTTTTCTCCAGCATCAAAACTAAGATAATTGTCACCTTTTTTCTCCTTTCAGATGTCACTTTTGAAAGACTTGCACATCTAGCTTGGAGAGCCTGTAATATTCACACCAATTAGAGATGGATACCATAGTAACACTTTCTCTTATAAGGATTACAGTTCTGCAGAAATAAAAAATAAATTACAAGCCAATTATTGCAACACAAACCTGCAGGGTTGGGAGCCTGACAGGAGATGACAACTTTATGCAGACTGTGTGTGTAACTAGTAACCACAGGGTAGGTTTTCCCTTGTGTGCACATTTGTCTTCTGTGTGCATGTGTTACCTGTGGAGACGGAACCATGGGGCAGAGGCCATGCCTGCCTCTGCAATGGCTTGCTGACCAAAAAGAAGTTCTAACTTCTTTATACGCATTTCTCAAAGACACTATGTCACACTAGTATATGTCACTACATATTCACTAGTATACAAAAAAGCCTTTCACAGACAAGAAAGCAGAAGAAACAGGTAGTGCTACGATGATCAGGAATAGAAAGGACGTATCTTGTGGTGAATGAGCTGCCAGGTCACTTACATTAAAGAACAAAGAACAGGGAAAGAACAAGTAAAAGCAAAGCTATAGAAATACATAGATAGTGGGGAAAGTCCACACCGAATCCAGTATGAAGATGCAGCCCCAGCCCTATTAATCTCCAATCTCCACAATGTCGATTCTCTTTAATTGATCAACACCTTCAAGTGACTCCACCTCTCTTGCCTCCCAGAGAAGCTTCCTCTTGATTATTTCCACCATGACAGAAGACCAAAGTGTCATTCAGCACAAAACAGTTAAATCATCTCCAAAATCTGCTTACACCTCACCTACTTTTGTAGCTCATTTCCCTTTCTGACACAGGTCTATGCCTTCAGAAGCTACAAATCTCTTCTGAAGTCTTCCTTATTTCTTAATGGACTTTAATTGACATTTAGCACATTTTCAATATGGCTAAAAAAAAATCCACTGAGCTTGTTAAACTTTAGCGCAGATTACTGCTTCCTTCTTTCTCCATTTACATCCTCAACCCTAAAGAAGTAATTCAAAACACACAGGTTGTTTTTAACCTGTTCCAAGTATTTGTTTTGCTAACTTTACCCCTCCTAGTATGTATAATGTTACTGCTGCTTCTTTCCATACACATACAGAGTCAGTCTTCTATTCCCTGTTATCCAGAAGATCGTTTTTTCTCTCTCAAATGTCTCATCTTAGCCTAATTATCTGCTCCTACTTCTGTTCCCTGGTGGTTATTTTGGTGCTACAGAAAACTAGAAAAATTAACACAGTTTGAATATTTTTGTATAGGAAATGAAACTCAATTATGTGGCACTGTAGCAGGATACTTCAGTGTTCTTTGATTTCAGAGGAGTTCACTGTATGAAAGCTAAGAGAAAGAAAAGGTGCCAAAGGTTTCCAAAGTAAAATATCAGCCTGGCAATTTGACAGATATGTGAGGGCTGAACAAAATTTGCATGCATATCTACATAAATACTGCAATCACTATAGTTTAGACTGGAAAAGAATAAGTACTTAGTCTAAACCCCAGGTTTCACACACTTCTGACTTTCCAAAATATTCACCTTAGAGGATAAAATATTCCATGCTAGGTCCATATTTAGAGGATATTATTTTAGAAGACCAAACCACACTTCTTCAGCCATTTTAAGCTCTTGGTATTCATATAATAATACGCAAGACCTCAAGAAGAAAAAAAGACAAAATCCTGACAGCAACACATGTAAGTTGCCATGTACTAAATATCTAACTTTCTTGTTAAAAAGATAAGTAGACCAAGTTCAGGAATAAAGACTCATCCACATGACAAACCTCCAGCAGATGCTGCTCTTTTACACCACACTGGCTGCTCCGGCTACTTTCTGGACTTTCTGTCATGAACAATTCAATAGCATTACTGGATTGTACAGAATTGCTTAGGTTGAAAAAGACCTTTGAGATCTCCAAGACCAACCATTAACTGGTTTTCATTCCAGCTTTTTGTTCCAGATTCTGATTTCAATCCAGCTGGTGGCAGCTAGAGGAAATGGGAACAAGACTAAATATGGTGGTGACCAGTCCCCATGTCCCACTGGTTTTGTATGTTCTGAATGTGAAGTCTAAGAAACATTTGTTATACAGAAGGACCATTGCACCAGACTGTCCAAAAAGATTAAAATAAAAATGAGCAACTGCCCCAAGTGCCTACAACATTGGAGTTGTAACTTCTCAACCAAAACTGGGAAATCTTAAATTTCTTCTCTAAGTCAGTTATACCGAACATTTGTAATATTTGTTTTTATTTCTGACTCCAAGTTAAATAAAACCTGTATTATTTGCTATGACTAAACATGAATAACTGCCAAACATTTATAAAACATGAGTGACCACAGAAAATTCCAGTTCAATTTGGCCAACAAGTAAGAAAATACTAAAATATCAGTAAAATGGGCCTTTATTTTTCTATTAGAAGAGAATTCTACATAAACCAAGCTGACTCTGTTTTACAAGACTTTCCTCCCAATATAATAAAGTTTCAAGATGATCATGAACATTGTAGAGTTGTAAATCACTCTTCTTGTTGAAGGCTTCAGCAAGGTTTCTTCAGTTGTTGTAATCTTGGAGCGCTTGAGCCATGAAAAGCTTGCCCAGGTTCTGTGCATTGAACTCCTTAATATTCTGGCAATAGGTATTAATTTGACCTGTCAAAAGGAAAGAGTAAACCCTTGTCAGTTTTGAAATTCAGAAAGACACCCCAGAACACAGTTTTTCAAAAGCAAAATGTGTGTAAATCATTGAGGATTTATAGAAAAGCCACTAACTCTGCTCATCTATTCAACAGGAATTTTACATTTTCAGGATGCCCAAATATATTTGGAAAGAAGAAGAAACTAAATTAGTAGAACAGGTAAATTCGTATGCTCAAAACCCCCTTAATTTTCCAGCAATACTACATATGATTTCTGAAAATACATATGACAATAAAAAGAATAAGCAACTCTTGCTGCTGAACTGAAAGCTCAATCACATTAATTCTACAATTTAGCTGCTTCTAAAAATTCTACAAGACTAAATTTCAGTTCTGTTCTTATGCATATGCTTTCTCTATTAAAATATTTGAAAGAAGTATTTTTCAGCAGCACAATGAACATTGTGCCATTCCTCTCGGACATTCTGCTAGCCTTTTTTCCTACCTAACATTTAACTTTATTTCAAAAATCATCAGGGTATGAAGATTTGTCAGCGCTTGACAAATCAAATGTGCCCATCAAAACATTATACTCTTACAGCTACAAGTTATTTCCCTTGTTAGCTACAAATAGCAAAACCTGAAGCCAGTTTAATCAAAATTAAGTCTGTTTAGAAGGCAAATAAACTCTCAATTTAATGCTCTATTCGAAAAGTTTTTCAATGCCTCAGAGACGAATAGCTAAGTTTTATTCTTTATCCACAAACTTTACTTCATCAAAGTTGAAGTGGATGCTTTCAATTCTTCCCCTGACTATGATAAACGAACAAAGAAAGAAAGTGCTTTGGCTGTCTTTTCCTTTAAGTATAATAGTTTTCAATTCCTTCTCTCATAAGGGGTGATTCATCCGAAGCTTTCACTTTCATAAAACACACGTCTACACATATACACTCTTCAGTTGCATTTATAAGCCCTGCTAGAGCTGAATATTTAAATACTTTAATGCTGTTAGGATTCAGTAACTGCTACAAACTATAAAAACAATAGGGTTTTCTAAAAGCTTCTGTAAGGAGTGATAAATCAAGAATATTCTTTCTTCTAAACACAATATTATCACTGTGAAACTATTAAATATTAAAATAATAATCTCTTGGTCACATCAAAATTCAGGTAATTCAAATCCACTTTTTCTTTAACGTCAAAGCACTCTTTGATGTACAGTACACTACCAGGATTTTGAATTTTCTCTCAGTAGAAAACAAGGTGGTAGCTATCTGGACCAAAAAGCCTGATACAATTAAACAATTTGCTTTCTCATGACATTTTCCAGACTTATTTTACTTAGCAGGGAACCAAGGTTGCCTGCTCTCTGTTGACACTGTGAGGTCCCAGGTATTTTTACCCTTTCAGGAAGCACAAGACAGGCACTGACAGTGGCTATGCCTGCAGCCCACCAGTGAACTGAAGGAACTGGGAGGTGATAGCTCTATCTATGCTTTGTTCCCAGTTATATTTTTTCTCTCCTGGCAGTGCAAGAATATGGGGATAGTTTCCCTAAATCTCTGGCCATAAAAAACAAGTAAATATCTCCATTCTACTTGAAATTAAAAGCAAAACCTTCTCAGTTGCTGCAACAACCCGTTCAAACCTAGAAATATCAATAACCTGGGACTGCTCTGAATCAGAAGCTCAAGCCCAAAGAACTTATTCCTGAGTCTTATCTGTACAGGTCTTGGATTTCTGGAGCTGAAGGAGGAGCTGGGGCATGAGTGAAGGGGTCAGCTACACCCATCCATGCAGAGAGTCTTCCCTGTAGAGCATTTCTCTTATTTAAAATCTCAAATTTACAATATCAAGGATAGGATCTGCAATGCTACCAAGCCAAAACATCACCACATAATGGCAAAGGTAATGAAAACTTAAAATGCTTTCATAGAATACAAATGCACTTTTCCCCAAACAGATATTCTTATGTTAAAAGGTAATTTGAAAGCATTGCTAAACATTACCTGCAATAAGGAGTGACTCCATTCTTGGAGGTGGTTGTGGTGGTTTGAAAAGCTTATTGATGTCCTCCTCAGGAAGAGGGGGCTCTCCTCGGCTTTGACGCTGTATATTTTCTTGCTGACGTCTCTGCTGATACTGAAAATAAAACAACAGCATCAAAATGCAGCAGGATTTACAAAGCTGTAAAACAAAATTTATTTTCAGATGTTTTCAACAAACCAGCAAGGGTGTTTTAAAAATTACATTATTTAATGCAATTCAGGTTACTACAAACAATAAAATGCAATTCACAATTTACTGTGAATTCACTGGCAACAAGGCATTTCCCACCCCACACACTGGCACCTTAAAAAGGTGAGATAATGGAGATTCATATAGTACTGAGGTAGTGGGGTTAGCTTCTAAAATTTTTCAGAGATAAACACTGTATCTGATGGAAAGAATACAGCATGGTTGAGAAAGGCCTCTACTGCCTCATGCAATAGAGAAAAGCAAGGGTGGAATATGTAGGTATGAGAATCCACCATCTCAGATAGTTGCACAAATCAAAAACTCTCCATTTTATGCAAGTTAAAGGTCAAAACAATATTAATGTTAAAGGGGAAGAGAACTTGATTAAATAAGGTATTTTAAGCCAAAAAATATTAACTCCAAACTGAGAACAAAGTGGTGGCTGAAACCAAGCACAATAGTTCATTTCTCCAGTAATATGCTAGAACAGCAGCTTGTAAAAGTTTTTCTGATATATATATATATCTATAAGGAAAAAATTATTTTCTGTACTTCTCTTTGCCACAGAGATTACTCAAACTTTATAAAAATTAAGACAAACGTTTCTGCAGCTATCAGATAAACATTTGTTCTTGCAAAGCTCATAAATTCAGGAACTATGTGAGATTTCATACTGTATGTGGCAGTGAGGCTTTAGTTACAAAGTTTTTCTTCAAAGTCACACATTCAACATAACAAAAAAGTATTTAAGGAGACGAAGAGTACAGAGTGTTTTCTCTTGCTTACTTAAATGTATTTGTGATCCATTGAGTTTGAAAACAGTTCTTACTTGGTGGCACAATCAAATGAAGTAATTTTTTTTCCAGTAGTAGTGACAAATACATGTTTTTGGACAATGTTAAAAATAAAATCTTAAATGCCCATATTTGTATGTGAATTGCATGCAGTTTCTTCTTTCTTTGCATTACCCCATTCACTTCTCAGCAGTCTGCCTATTATTCTTTATTGAAATGGCTTGCTCTTAATCACAATTGCTCCATTTTAGAAATGAAGTTACGACCACTAAATATGCTGCAATGAGCCACTACTAAAGCAGCTATAGTTAGTAAAGAAATTAAGTGAGACACCATGGAACGTACTTTGCTCTGCTTTTCAAAACAAATAGATCCCCTTGTTGTTAACAAAAACCTTTGAAGCAGATGTCATCTTTCTATTCAAATTAGGCAATAAGGGAAAAAAAAATCTGAAGATACCATGCATGAAGCTTCCATGTCCTTGGGAATTCCATGGCCACTGATCATGTGCTGCTTCCCTAAAATATTCCCTGTTCAAGCTACACTTTACTTATGTGAAAAATTGTAGCTTTGATTTTAAAACAGTCAGTGATTAAGTCTTTTTAATAATCATTTTGTGTGGCAATAAATGCAACCTTTTATCTTAAAAGTGATCTGCCATTCTCAGTTGGCCAATATTGAATCTTGTCATATCTCTGTGTGCCAGATAAAAGAGCTCAAATTTATTCTTCATGCAGGAATCTCTTGAGTAAGCAAGTAACTTGTTAACTTATCACATTATGTGAATTCTGTTCATCAAAATCTTCTCTCCAGAGTTTCAAATAATTCTCATAGTGCTTTTTTCCCATTTATCACCATCCTCCTACAGTCAGAGCATTGTTATATCTGTGCAGAAAGAGCAAAGAAAGTAATACTGTCTTCAAACACCAGAATAGTTAAGGTTGGAAGGGGCCTCTGGAGGTCACCTTGTCCAACCCTTCTGCTCAAGCAGGGTCACCTAGTGCTGCTCTTCATACTCAAGATTCTGTAATCAATGGATTTTAATTCTAATTCGCTAATGCTCTGGATTTTAAAGAGGCCCTTTGGCACCAGGAATTGAAAGTCAGCATCACCCAATCAGCATCACTATTCATTGATACTAAACATAACTCAAATGTCCTTTTCAATCAGAGAACAGTCCAGCTTCTTCACAGTCCACTGGACTGTGTCTCTTTATTTCTAGATGCATGACCACATGTGATGGTACTAAGACACAGTTTGGTTTGAAGCAAAACTTGTAGTTTCATGCCTTTCATTTACTGAATGTATTATTCCTGTGTCCATGGTATATTTGTAAATTATTTTGGTTTATCCTAAATCACTAATAAACATGTAAAATAGCAAAGAAAGCTAAATCCATACCATATACCACTAGAAGTGAATTCATTTGGTAACTGCTGAATGAACAACCTGTTTTATAAATCTTCTTGTACTGTGTTTGTGTGGCAAGATTTTAGTAGCAGGGGGACTACAGGGGTGGATTTTGTGAAAAGCTGCCAGAAGCTGCCCATATGTCCAAAATGGCCAACAGCATCTGGCTTTGAGATGGACTCACCACTGGCCAAGGCCAAGGCCAAGAGTGACAGTACCTCTGGGATAAAACATTTCAGTGGGGGCGCGGTGGCGGGGGGAAGGGAAATATGCCAGCTAAGAGAAAGGAATGAGAGTATGTGAGAGAAACACCCTGCAGACACCAAGGTCAGTGAGGAAGGAGATTCCTCTGCAGCCTGTGGTACACAACATGGTGAAGCAGCTGTGCCCTTGCAGCCCATGGAGCAGGGGAGGAATGTGAGGGGACCTATCTCTGAGGAGGAAGGAGCAGCAGAGATGTTATGATGAACTGAGGAGGAAGGAGAGAATGTTGGGACTGAAGTTCAACCCAAAAAGTAGGGATGGGTGAAGGGAAGGTGTTTTAAGATTTGGGGTTCATTTCTCATCATCCTACTGTTTTGATTGGTAATAAATTAAATTAATTACCTGTTTTGCCTGAGATAGTAATTGATGAGTGATCTCTCTCTGCCCTTAGATCAACCCAAGAGACTTCCACATTTTTTCTCCCATGCCCAGCTGAGGAGAGGAGTGATAAATTTGCTTTCTGGCTCATTTGGCACCCACCACACTGCTTAACAGGTGTATTTTTGAAAGATCTTGCTTAGATCCCAATTCATCTGTCTTGGGTAACACAACCTATACTGTATTTTGTGTGAAAAAAATGCTCTCATTTAGGTTTCTCCATGCTACTAACCTGATGTTTCTGCTGCTGCTGCTTGCTTACGTTCCTCAGATAGGTATTGTATTTAACAATGTCTTGGCTCATCTCATCCACTCTGTCCATCAGCAGCTGCAGACTCTTCCCAAGATGATTACTGAAATAGGAAAAAACATTCATGAAAGATTGAATTTATTACTAAAAAAAAAAAAAAAAATTAAAATTAAAAATTCATTCTGTCTCTTGACCAGTATTTCTGCACAAATGGCACCTTTTGCAAAATTTTAAGTTCCTGACTATCTTTGCTCATATATTTATTTGATGATACTTTACAGGGCATGTCCTTCTCTAGTATCTTTGCCTCACTGCATATACCAAGTTTAAGTGTTTCAGTCTTTCCAGGAACCTCCCACTAATGAAAAAACAATGCCTTGCATGAATTTACAGTTATTAGAGATGCAGGTCATACATCTAAAATAAAAAATCTGATGCTTTTGTGACATGCAACCCAAGCAACATTCCAGATGTGCTCAAAGTATTTGGTTTCAAATTACTTTTTAAAATTCACTACCTGAAGTTGGTGTTGCACAAATTTTTAATTATCCCTCTGTTAAATATTATTCTGAGTAAGAACAGTTAAGTATTCTTCAGAACTCCACCTCGTTAACCATGCCTTTAAGTTCAGCAGACGTGGTTTGATCCTAGCTGTTGAGAGGGAGTCTGTGTCCTGTCCAGCCAGCTCCACATTCCATACCATAGGCAACATGGAAGCTGCAGCAGGCTGGGTGTGTCCAGTTCCAGTTATGCGATCTACTGCCTTGGCCAGACAAATGCAGTCTGTGAAACAACTTTTATTGTTACCATTTTTAGCAATGGATTCAGTATTTTACAGGAATGTTCAACTTAAGGTATACCTTCCAAATCAAAGTTTTGGAAGTTTTTAGTTTGGTGCCCATGGAGACATCCTCCTAAATCGTGTTTACAGGGTAGAGCAGTAAAAGGACACTTTCTGCTCTCTAGTGATCCCTTTGATCAGAAGCTGTTTTTCTGGCTCTGTTGTCCTACTTGGCTGAAGACTAACAACTCAAAAGCTAAATTCCATCTTTCTCTTCCTCAACTGAAATCTACCAATAATCATGAGTTTCTTTCCAATTTAAAATCTGGTGCACTTCAATGTCAGAATCACACTCTTCAATCACTGTTTCACCATGTTATCTGAGATTCTCTCTTCTTTCATAATGCTTTCCTACCATCCTACAGTCTATGGACTGAAGAAGCTCTAACTGGAAGACATAGGCACAAAGTCAAAAGAGAACCACACATGCAATACTGTGCACATCCCTCTCTAAGTGTAAATTATTTCCAGAATCCATAGAACTCATAGCTGGAAACAGAAGCTGATCATGCACTTAGGAATACCTGCAGAGACTAGAGCTGGAGACACCCTTATCTTTGAGAGCAAGGACAGCTGTTTCACTCACTGAGTTGCTCACTGAACAAAGGTCTGCATCAGGAACTTCAGACCACAATTTATTTACAAGCCAGAGTGTAAAATTGCACTTGCATACAGAGGCAGATGGTGTGGCGGATTTCAGCTCCACAACAGCAAGAAAGGCGCCACTATAATAATTATTTTTAAACTTCTTGGGTTGTTTTTTTTTGGTTGAACATTTCAAGCACATGATATTTAGAACTGTGGAATATTGCCATGGCCAGGAGCGTGCATGTTTTCAGTTTTTTATAGAGTTTATATTGTATGGAGTTACTGTTAGAACTGGATATTATCAGAAAGGCCTGTATAGGTACACACTAATACCCTTGTAAGGTATGTGCACAACAGAAATACATAATTATTTTACAGATAGTGTCTACATGAAATATAGTGGTTACAAAGAATGATTTTATGTGAATCTCTTTGGGACCAGCTTAGAACAACAGAGTACAGAAACAGAGAGTTATTGTCAGAAGTTGCAGTAACACAGTGTTTGCTCTCATTGCCAGGGCAACAAAAACCAGATAACTTAAACAGATGTGAACTGAGACACGAAGTGATAAGTACGCTGCAAATACAGGACCAGCTTTTCCCTCAGTTCTCATGTGGCTGATAGCCTTTTTTGCTCCATCTCTTAAAAAACAAGAAAGACAAATAGGAAGCAGTTTTTAAAAATGTATATGTACGATCTCTAAGCAAGTTTTATTCAACTAAAGTTTATTCTGCTGATACTTTGCTCCAGCCCATAACACTCATCATACATTTAATTTGCCCAAAGGGTGCTTTAGGCACCTCCATACATTGTGCATTCCCTACAGCAGATCTCAAAGATCACACTGCCAGGTAACTAAATGCCCACTATGCATCAATACAATTTAAAAAAA